CAACTCGGTACCAAAGTTGTAGGGGCTGAAAATCGGGGGTCAGAGCGCGCCAGGGGGGTTTCGTAAGAGTCGAGGGGTTCCGGTCCCAGGATTAGCTGCAAGGGTAGTTCGTCACGTAGAGCGTGACTTCGGCCGTTTCGTTGTTTGGCACGTCGAGGTGGAACCAACGGTTCCACACGGCTTTCGCCCAATTATAAAACAAACGCGGTGCACTCCGTAATTATCCAATTAGTGGATGTTCCACCACCACCACCACCAACGATGGCAGCCCGCCTAACCCCCCCGGCCTTTCACGCATCGTCCGTGCACCCTCCCCCTTTTACGTGCCGCGATCTGTCTGGCTGGGATCACAAAGGCGAACAGCGACCATCAAGCTTTGTACCGCAGCGATTCGTTATCGTCTCTCCGTTGTCGACGACGTGTTTCTATCGCGTGGCCGACGGCGAAGCTCTCGCACCGACCCCCGAGGAAAGGATGAGTCGACCCGACCCGGCTCGTCTAATGGGCGAGCGTCTGCCGTTTGAATAGAAGCTTTTGTCGGCAGATGGAGGATGAACATTTCTTTGGGAAATTTTTTGGAATCGGTTTTACTTTTTTTTTTTTTTATTTAATTTTATCGGGAGTTTTGTGTGAATTTATTTTTTATACTTTTGAATTTATTATATTTTTTATTACTTGAATTTTCTTAATTTGGACTTCGTTATTTTACGAGAGGAAATTATCGAGAATTAAGAAGTCGGATTTTCGCCTGAAATATGGTTAGTGCATCTTGAGGTGTCGATTTCGGGAAAGATGAAATACGATTGCCGGTAGATGTCAGGGCCAGGAGGCGTGATCGGACCGGCGAGAAGTCTCCGCGCGTGACCGTAAAAACAAAACGTTGTTACACGGTGTGTGATTGATTTACCGAGGGGAGTAAACGCCAAGCACACGCGTGAACGGACCCTTCGTCCAGAAAGATATGTCCGCGTAGGATTGTCCACCCATGCAAGTATTCTATCCTTTTCGTTGATTTTCCTAACTCTGTTTAATATTGTCTAACACGTTAAGCAAGATTTCCACCCTCCTAAACGAAACAGAAAGAAAATTGTTTACTCTAACCTACAATTTTGCATTAAATTTATACACTGACATTCCTACGAAATCCTCAATAAAACACTTCCAAATAAAACATTCTTTCAATACAGCAGTACCTTAACAAATCAATTTACATCCACAAAAGCCTGCATAACCTGTTCCTTTAATAAAATCCCATGAATCCACATAGTGCCATAGGTCAAACGCGCGTTCTGCAGCAAGAAAGTCCAGCAAGCAGCCAAAGTAAAGCACGAGTCAGGATAGCAAGCAAGTAATCGCTTCTCCTAGGGGATGAAACTGGAGGAGTATAGGAGTAGGAGGAGGTAGAGGGTTGGCCTACGTCCGTTCGTCCATATCTTCGTCCAGATGACAGGTGCAGAGGCCCCTCGTTAGACAAATTAAGCTTCGTTCCTGGCCTCCCGCCTCGATGCCAGCGTCTACTCCACAGCTTTGTCCGTCTGTCTCTATTCCCTCCCCGTCCCAGCCACGTCTCTGCGTCTCTGTCGCGCGCGCGCCAGCTCGTTCGGGACTGGTTTCGAGTGGACTGCAAACACTCGTGCCAGGCAGCGGCGGCGGAGCCTCGAATCGCGCAGAAACCGGGCGCAAGACCAAGAACCGTACGGATCCGTCGACTCGCGGCTACCAGCAGACCTAACACCGTTACCGAGATCCTTTCTTGTGAGTTAATAGGTGAAATAGCAGGAAAACGATTCTTCCGGGACAAAATCAGAATATTAGAGAAAATACTTGGTTATTCGAGATGCATGTGTAAGAAGTGATATTATAATTTCGAGGTTAGTTGACAGGTGAAGAAGAAGAAGAAGAAAGACATTTGATAGGTATTTACTTAGTTGTAGGTAGTCGATGGTTATAGGAGATATATGATACAGAGAGGTTACGTTTTTGTCTACTGGATATGTTAAGTAAATATGGTTACATACAGCGTATTGAAATAGTAATGGTAGATTCAAAATTACATTACTCCATAGGTAACTATAATCATTGGTAGATACTTTTTGGAATATTCTTATTCGTTATACTCAAATTTCTATTCACAAACAGTTTACCGACATTTACATTAATTCACCACAATTTTACAATATCCTACCCACTATGTAATTGTGTATATCATAATCGTTACCTACCACATTTTCAAATATTCTACTTTACCTATCAATACTCTACCCATCCAACCTCCACTTAGTTCTCTTCAAAGTCACTTTTCTACCACTCGTCGAAGCGATAGAAACTACACTGTAAGGCGATCAAAATCCATCGAAAGCAACGATATCTACCATCAATCTCCCTCAACGAGACAAGCACGCGAAACAGTGTTCTGAGTCCTTCCTGAAAGCCTCGACACTCGCGGTTCTTCAGTCTCGATTTGCTGGTGGAAATTACCTCTCTGGTCCGCGTCCCATCCATCGGCAGCGAGGTGTGCCGCGTCTATTTACAGGCGTCGCTCCCCGCCCCCCCCTGTCCCTCGCGGAAACTGGCTGCCGCTTTCACGAGATATTACCTGTAATGTCCGCTGCATCCATTACGCGTCATTATCCATCCATTAGTCGTTTTGCACGGGCCCGTGGACGCCTCGGAAAAGGACGCTTACACGGCACGTCGCGTCAGAACCGACCTGCCTTCTTCTTTTATCCCTTCCTCCTTTATCTTCCTCCACGGTGCCATGATCTACGTTAAGAAATACGCTTACAACTATTCTATCTTGCTTAAAAATAATTGAGAGGAAGTAATACAAAGAACAGAAATGTTCTTCCTCTTATACAAAAATAATTTTTTATACAAAAAAGAAATTAATAGAAGAATTAACAGTGAATGAATATTAAAGCAGTACATGTACTGATTCTGTTGACTGTTTCGAGTGGCT